GTCTATCGCGCAACCTCAAATAATATTAACCCTATTTTATTTCCAAGAGCGTTTGAATGTTAACTATCCTCAACAGGGGGTGTGCGATAGACTTACCTCCACGTGGTGCACCCTGGGCAACGTATACTCATACGGCAAAAAGGTCTATTAACCGGCAGTTGACTTCTGACTCCAAACTACCATTACCCCACCGCATATCAAATTCGACTACTTTAACCGTACTCACCTCACATTTTTTTCCAATTTTGTGTCGGTCTCTTTTACATCTTTGAAACACTCTTCTGTTCCCCCCCCCCATCTCGACCTTTTTCACTTTGATGTTCCTTCCCCTCGCTAAAGCCTGAAGTCAACTAAAGGGCTAATTATAACCATCAAACGCCTGCCATTCGATATAAATGAAAAAAATAAATATCATCAATAGTTCGTGATAAGTATGAGTTAGACGAACGCAAGAAACAAATATAATAGAAATAAGTGAGCATGATTGAATAGTACAACTGAATATACGCACCTGTTGTGAACTGATACCCCTTAGTAGAGCCTCTCGAACAGATTCTCGCGTAATATCAGCGACGATCATATTTGGAAAACGTATGCGAATCTTACAAAATAGACTCAGAAGGGAAGTCTTGAGGACCGAGTCTGAAACAAAAAAGCAGAAATAAAAAACAGGAGATCAACTTCTTTAATTATTTAAAAATCGCTACATTCGATGTTGGCAAAACTCCCACATTAAGGATAATTATTTAATTACGTACAGATGAAAGACATACAGACGGCAATAAGTCAATGAGCTCTGAATACCAGCGACAGAATCCCAATCTCGTAATTTATAACATCAGCATTAGTGGAGTACCGAAGTAGTGAGTAGAAAAAAAACAGGACGTTAGGAAGCGAAGTCCGAACTTACAAAATTTACGAAGCATTGACTAAAAGATGCCTCGACCTCATAATTCGCATTTTATTCAACAAATTGTTTGTCAGGATTAAAATAAGCGATGCTTTCCACTTTTTTGTCATAATCAGCATCAGAGGATGGTGTTTTCAAAGGCGGTTAAGGGTATATAAAGCCTGCTATTCACAAAGCAGCTTCCGAAGCATTGACTGAGCAACTATTTGCTTTTAGATAGAGCAGAAAGGAGAACATCTAATGTGCTTCATTCACACAATTTTAATCTGCACATAGTGCAATTTTCAAATTAACACGAGGTATTGATAAAAGTATTGACAGGCTTTGTAACAAAGGAAAGTAGAAGTCAAAGCGCGATTCAACCGATAAAAAATGGATTTACTCAATGGAGAAGATTGAGGCTTGTGAACTACACAAACCTAACACGATTAAACTAGGCTATTTCATGCGGTCGAACACTCTGGAACAAGCGGGCCCACCACTAATCACAACTGGGAGCAAATTAGGCTACGAGGGCAGAGAGCCATCGACAAATCAACAATTAATAGTTGTTACAGGTTCAGCGTGCCAAAAGAGCACCTAGCGTCGAAATCTGTGCCATTTCCCCATATTTAGAGGGAGCATACCACTGACAACACAAACACAGTAAACGTATTCCACGTCATACATTTGCTGAGGCGGGGTGTGCGATAGACTTACCTCCACGTGGTGCACCCTGGGCAACGTATACTCATACGGCAAAAAGTCTATTAACTGGTAGTTGACTTCTCACTTCAAACTACCATCACCCCACTGTATGTCATATTAGTCTACTTCCACAGTGCTCACCTTACCTTTTTCTATACTTTGTGTCTGTCTGTCTCTTTTACATCTTTGAATCCCTCTTCCGTTTCTCCCTCTCGACCTTTTTCACTTTGATATTCCTCCCTTCTATGAAGCCCGAAGTCAACTAGAGGGCTAATGATAACTATCATAAAGCCTGCCATTTGATATAAATAAATAAATACCTTTGCTGAGGCAGCTTAGATAACCTCGGGGGGCTTATCATACTAGGGGATTTTGCCATTAAAATTACTGATGAAAAGTCAAGACTATTCGAGCAGCAATTCGCTACAGGCTATAATGATCACTTCATAATAAGTCATTAAGAACACTGCACAGAAGTATGAAGTTTAAATAAATTACAAGTGGGATAAAGGGTGGCACTTTCTAGTACGCATCTATATCAGCAAATGCATTTATTTTGAGCCAAAGGTCTTTTCGTTTCTTCCTCAATGGTAACAAAATTTCTGTGAATGGCTAACAATACCACAATCTAGGCTATACCAACCGCATTATCAGTGCAATTAAAAGCATATTAGCGTTTATAAAATGTAAGCAATCTATAACAGTCAATAACTCACCCGTATACGCATATACACGGAAATTTGTTTCCACGACAATGTAACCGATATCTCCTGCATCACCACCACCATCAGTTGAACTGCGAAGGGAGATTCCCGTAGGCAGACGGGCGGTTGAGAAGAGAGAGTCAGGTTCAGCTTCTAGGACACTGTGCAAAACAGTTGACGAAGCCTTCGACCCCAATGCGAAACTCAGCGCCAGTTTAGTCACATAAAATCTAGGAGCCGCTCTCTTACGCTGATAAGCCAGACCTAATTCCCGCATAATCAACAACATTGCTCTCTCGGTATCTGTTAATTGGTCAATTGGATAACTCTAAAGAGAAGGCCTATTAATGCTAATCCTCTCTGCATACCTTTCCAACAGTAAGAAAACTAAGTTGAAAGACAAAATGGATAGTTTCCATAATGCTAATCCCCTGTGCCTAGGGCAAAGTTATCAAAATTGTTGAGATTCAAATACCTTCAGATAATCAAAATAATGAAGGATAAATCGCAGAATTTGAGTCGGTCTATCCATGAGAAGGAACTGGAAGCCTGCTTGTGAAATGCCAATGGAGTCTCCAGGGCCACCTCTTTAAAGATTTTAATAAAATAATTTACGCACCTACGATTTCATCAATTCAGATTTTAATAAAACATCCTTGACGACGCTACTGACTTCATCGGTTTTGGAGCCAACCATGAAATGTAAAATAGTCTAAAAATATTTCTCAAGGAAATTACGAAACCACTTACGTCCCACCTTTCGGAAGCATAATTGTCGAGAAACTCAGCATCTTTCGGACGCTTCTCAGCCGTGATAGAGCCGAAATCACTCAACAATGGTTTGCCACTAAAGACTAATAATTTATTCTTGATAATTTACCCTCCAAGAAGAGATATTTTCATATTTTCTTGAAATTTCTTGTTCAATCTGAATGAGCCTCGAGCACTATTGCTATCAATGCTTTGTAAAATATACAAATCCAAGAGATCTCTACAGGATGATTTCATTAAATCCTGAGAGCCTTTTGGAACCCATCCACTAATAATTGACTTCGGTATAGCCTGATCTAGCAAGAGTAACCGAAGAACAACATGTTGAGCGTGCTCTTTAAGTTCTCTAGAAAATAACGAATCCCTAAATATAAAATACCTGAAGACAATGAGACAAGTTGGAGGATGATTATATAACTCATCGAATTCGTTCACACTTAGAGTTTTGAGATAATCAAAAATGCAAGAAGGTCTCGACCCGCCTTCGAGACACATTTGTATTTCATTGATCATTGGTTAGTTTGAATAGACCTCTTTTTGCTAATTTTATATATTAGTCTATAATTTTCAGAATTGTCGAGTTATTTTCATTGAAAGAGTCATATTTTCAAACTCAATTTCATATTGGTATTCAAATAATATTCTTTACTTGTGGGCTAGTACTCCGACGACGTAAAAATTTTGTTTTTGTTCTTAACAAGGGCATTTGTAAGGTCATCCCATTATAAATAACGCCCAACGTGAGTTAGTTTAGCCGACTTTATTATTACTTTGTCTAAGCTATGTAAAGGTTTTTGTTATCTTTATAATGGTTTATTAAATGCCTCTGTGTACTTGCTACTTGCTTCCCAATTTTAGATTGCTGACATGTCAGAATTGTTACATCTCGTTGAATCGCTACAGTAAGCTCATTTTTTACGGAAAGTCTCATGCGTTTATAGAGAAAGTTTAACTTCTCCTAATGACCTACAGCAAAAATCTGCATTCCAAAAATTTAATGCCGGCATAAAGTCACTTTCATCTATTAAGTTCACTGAAAATGAAGGTATTATATATCGATTTTACTCATTCATATATACGCTTTAGTGTTCCACGTTGTTGACTTCTACGTGTCTCGATTGGTCCATTCCGATCCTAACTTAATTGGGATTTTGCTTGAAGGTCTCCTCCTCTTTGCAGACAATCAATTACTTTCCGCTAAATGTGCGGTAAAGATATGCAACGATGGTTTCTATTCCACTCTCAGTATTCAAAGTCTTCGTAAAGAAGAACGCAGAATTGCATACAGGCTCCTTCTTGCTCTTCTCTCCTCCGATCGCACCATTTCTGGTCTGATATCAATGAAATTAGGGTTCGTTCGCGGCTTTATCGCTTCAGTTGAAAATGAAAAGGACCCAGAATGCCTTATGGCAGTATTTTCTATGCATAGCATCGTACTAAAACACTTTAATCTCGCTCATTTGGCTGAAGAGCATTTCGATGTTATGGCTGCTTATTTTCCAGTTGACTATAATCCAGTACGCTTTATTGGGCCTATATTTATTATTTAAATTTGTTTCTGCTTGCTTTGAGCCTTGTTTTCTGTTCAAATTTAAGCCGGCTGGAAGTAAATTAGGAATAACTCGAGCACAACTGGCTGATCGATTGAGAGCTGCTCTATTTGCTTCACGACAAACTGATGGAGCTTTTCTATTGTCTCTTCTTTTGGAAAAGGCGGCATCCCATAGGCCGGAGGCACGTGCGGATGCTCTTGCTCTTCTTGCTGATTGCGTAAATGGCATACACCATGTTGCATCTTCGTTTATTGACTTCCGGATCAGTACTCTTTCTGACACACCTGCTGAAGATCCTATTCCCATCTCGCATGTTACTGCTTATCTATTTGCGCTTTGCAATTTGATTAAGCAGCTGGTGAGTCGTATAAAAATTTCTCCTAAAACAAGGTAGACGGATAAGCACAAAACACTGGTTCACTTCGGTCTTTTATAAAGAAAAACTTCATTAGGTTTAAATAAGCCTTTTCAATATTCTAACCAATCCATTTCTCTGAAATTCTCCCAGAGCACAAATTCCTCCAGGTGAAACTTAACTGAAATGATCGCATAGCTCTTCGCTGAAATTAGTATGCGGTAATATTAGCCATCTAAATTTTTGTTTAGTCAACCTATGATGTAATACTGTTGAATTCAGACTTCAATCCTCATTGATAACTGTAAATATTGATAACTTAGTAATCTCTATTGAAGCATGAGATTATGGATTTAATCTTCTAATAACTTCACAGGGGACAGAAGAGATTGGTCGTGGGAGAGTTGAGGGTAGTATTGCAGTTCAAATGCTAGTTATTAGAAATGCGTGTGAGCTGAATGTTAATTCATATATGGAACAGAGAGGAAGGTAATAACCTTGAACTTGATAACCTGAATATAGTCTTGAAGAACGCGGCCATATTTTAGTAATAAGTCAAGTTATTGTCGTTGGATCAGTATAGAAGTTGGGACGGCCACTCCAAATTATTTTTAAACAAATTAGGAATCCTAAGCAAATGTTTGTTCCTTAGTCGTCAGTCATGTCTGGTCATAGGTTTCTTTGTGTGGTGATTGGTATCTGAAACAGTTTGTCTACTTAAATATGCGCGCCTTGACAGCCTGTTCATATATTTTTCGAGGTTCTATTGTTTCCGATCATAGGGTTGAGGTTGACCCCAGTTGTATATAATAAGACAGTTGATAAGCGTGATAGATTGATAGTATGTTGTAGCCCTGTTATTTGGGTCAATATCGGTTTTTTAAAAGACTTCTTTGGAAATCATTAAAATTTTCTCTAAACTAGAAGGAAAGTATCTATATATCTAGTCAATATTCAGAGTTATTTTTATTAACAAACGACTATTCCTTTGCTGCTGGCCTTCAAATGATTTTTTCCCAATAATAGACAATAGAAATGGATGTTTCAGACGATACCGAGGACATCAAACAGATGCTTTGTTTTGTTGCCGGACTATCGGCTATGTTCAAAGGGAAGGTGCGTCATCTTGCATGCACATTTTTACATAAAATATTTTCTCCTCTGATTAATTGTTTATTCTACAGCCAGAAGAGTTAGATTTCGTGGAGACTTTTCTCAAGTGTCTCTGGCCAGAGAAGTCAGAGGAGGAAGGCGATAAGGTGATGAAACTTGACAGTTGGTTTTCTGTACCACCAGACGATGCTCACGTTATTCCGACGCAGGCTCCGGATGCCCTTGTGTCCGATTGTCTTCTCACTGCAGTTCTCGCGGCTCCTGGTGGTCATCTACTGCCTCGTCTATTTCGCCGTCTAGCCACTCCTCTTCTTTGGCTAAGGGTTACCTCACTACCGACAGAGGATTGCTTCTATCGAGCTAAATTTGAACAGGTAAAATTAGTTGTTTCTACTTTGCACGAACCGCTTTGTATATATATGCTGAAATATTCAAACAGTACAATAGATTCTAGCCTGAGAGAGAGATAGAGATCACTAAGGTAGTAGTAAGGAACCTACTAAGGTTTAGCCTTTATCTAATGCACTAACTCCACTTCCACAAGCTAAAATGCAGGAAGAGATAAAGTGAGGGAGTAATTCAAATTGGAGAGAGAACTAGAGTGGAGTGGTTGTGATCTTGGTCAAATCGATTGTTGAATCTGCATAAAAGTTCCACGTTGGTAGGGGCTAAGGTGTTTGCTCTTGAAAAAATCTAAAATATTTTTGTTGCATTCTGATGTATGAAAAGTCCACTTGAATCTCATTAATAAATAAGAAATGAACATCTAACTTTCACACTTTAGTTTAAATCTTGCTGTTATATAGCAAGGAACAATGTGACTATTCATGTATGAGCATACTCAAGTAATAGGGTTGAACTACTCAGATAAATCAGATGGGTAAAAATTTCAATACATGCCAATAGTGCTATGATAACTCTGTCCCAACCATAGGTCTGTTTCGAACTAAATTATTGCACTTCTCATTGGCTATGAATCGATTCAACGGTAATGAAATAATTTTAGATCGCTCTTTGGACACCGCATCTCTCCCTTCTCAACCGACTTCTCTCTCACGTATCTCGTTGTAGTGGTTTATCGTTCGAAGGCGAGTAATCTTTATACCAAATCCCTCCCACTATTAGTGCACTCATTAAGTAGCCTTTTTTGTAGATCTTCAGTTGAATAAAGAGAATACTTGCGCCATTATCTATAACCTTTCAAACACACTCAAAAGGGCATGCTGTGATCTAAAAATGTGTGAATACGAAGGGAATGTGAAACAAGGTTTCACCGAAGTGGCAACCTTTTCTCTTCTCTGTCGTCTCCTTTTACTTATTGAATTCGATTATGAGATGGAGAGAATGGAAGTTGGAAAGGCATTCATTGAATTCTGTCCCCACATCTTGGAGCATATGCTGTCTGATTGGACTAAAGATCCCGTCCTTCGTGCTTTAAGGTATCTTTTTTGTCACATGTTTCAGATTTATCAAAGTAATGTATGATATTCAAGCTAGCTTTTTATTGTCTAATGCAATTAAAATTTGATCATTGAACACGAATACTATTGTCTAAATTCCGTAAATGCTTATGTTAGAAAAGAGTTATTTGCATTGTAGATTGGAGCAACAAAATCTGCTGGCCAATCTAATGACCCAGGCTTGCTTGGTTGAAGATGATCTCAAACTCCTACTCTTTAAGTTACTTGGAGGTAACAATTTTACTCCTTACTTTAATCTCTGCCATTGTAGAAGTCTCATGCATGGAATACAAGGGTGTTGCAATAGAAATTCTTCAAAGAGCAGCGTGTGGAAGCACTGCCATTCTTAACAACTTTCTCACCCTTCTGTTTGAAAATTGTCGTGATTCGATAAGCCTAACACCAAGTTCGTTTGCAATATAATTACATTCAAAATGCTGTTCTTACTTATTTTATGTTAGTAATACGTATTTAATAATTTTAGTTGTTCATTTGGTCCAGGCAATCCTCTTCATAACTAAATCTCTTCGATTAAGTGATAAGAATGGAGCCTTGCCATTATTCGCATCATCTCTTCTAGATAAAGTGAATGATTTTATTTATTTCACGTCTCGACTAATTTGCGATTTGGGGGAAAAGGAGACAAGGAACTGTTTGTTTGATTTGCTATATACATTACGATTGGTCTCTTCAAGCCTTTCTGCTGAGTAAGTCATTTACCCATTAGGTAGTTTTATTCCTTATGTATTATAAGGCAAAATTTGGTCTTAATATTCAGGAATATTATTAAGCCCTTTTATCTTACCCTCTTTTATCTAGATTAAATTTCTTGATAAACTTAACGTTGAATTTGTTAACATTTTAAATGAATCTGTCACACTTGATACGTATTCAACCAGCTCTGGTCCACACGACTTCCTCTACGACCTATCTAATTTTAGTTGGGGGATCAACCCTCGTCTGCGAAATTCTCTCCTAATTTTGCTGTTTCCTAACATCTAATCATGAGTAAATAGCGGCATATTTATAATTTCTTTTTTTTCAAATTCAATACCTCTGGGAGTTTTTTTGGTATGATGAACCTTCGCGTAGGTCTTAAAGTGTATATTTTTCTTCACCTCTTCTGTTAATAACTGTTGTCTCTCCTATAAAAAAACAACGGTCTCACTTAGCAACTTAGCCTACATTAATTCGTTTTGGTATACAGTTTACTTAACAGGTAAACCTGTTTTTTTTAAATTTAATACGTAGTCCGATAACTGCATCGATGGTTTAGACCTGGAGTGCTCTCTGCAAAGTTGGATTTGGGGTAGTTATAGGAGAGCGCTAAGTAGGTTTCGAAATAAAAATGCTTAAAATGCACGAAGTGCAAAAGTAAAATGTTTGGAATGTTTAGTATGCCTGGACGCATCTAGGTCGGTCCAATACCGTTGATTTATCTCTTGAACCCATTTGTGTAACGAGCTTGTAGAAATAGCAGGTCACGCCTTTCTCATGCCTGTCTCCTATTCTATGAAGCATTGTAGATGTTTACGTCTCACTATCTGATTGTAATCTAGGTGATGGATTTTAATTGTCCTCACTTTCCATTTGGTTTGAGTTAATTTGACATGTGGAATTGGTTTATAATAATTCATATTGTTCTCTACGCTTATCCTACTATAACCATCGGTTCTTCTATTTCAGTATCAATTAACGTCCGAGGGTCTATTTTCTGTAATTAATTATTTAAATTACCTCCAAGTATCAGGGATTAGCACCATTTAAAGTCTGTTACTTCCTTAATTTTGTCCCAATATAGATAATAGATACTCATAATTTCTTTCTTCGTTCGAATAGGCTTGATTATGAATATATAATTGAATTATAGAAGGAATAGCGAGTTTATTTAATCTTTAAACTGTTACGAGGAGGTATTTTCCGGTGCTGCCCTTGTCGGAGGAAATGCATATTGGAGCCTCTGTTGGGGAAAAAAACGTTTTACCACCCCAGCTCAGCCAATTCATTTAGTCAATTGGAATATCGAAACCTGTGACTTTTCTCGGGCTGTCTCGAATATGTCGAGGAGATCCCCTCTGTTAACGCTGATATAACGCATCTCCCCCAAAATACAATACTTTAATTAATTCTCTTCTGAGTCCTATTCAGTTATTAGATTGACATTTTGGTGTTTCTGGGATGTTGGCTTAGCCATCTCTCAGTATTTAACATCAGTTTCTTATTGGAGAGCTCCATTCATTCGTCGTAACATCTCCAACTTGGGGCAGGTGTGCCAGGCTCAAAATATTTTTTTTAGGACGAGGGCTATAGCATTCAAATTTGGGCTTTTTCCAAATGGTACATCATTTTATAGGTGTAATTTATGGCCTTCCCATTTAACTGCTGATACGCTGTGGATGTTGTTCGTGGATGAGATAAACACCTATGAGATTGATCCCCCTTCGATGCCTATTCAATTCTATGGCTGTTGATTCTGGCGATAAAAGGGTAGGGTGAGTGCCAATTTCTCACATGAGTAGCGTCATGATACTTTACACCTGCCCATTTCAATACTTCAATACTGGTGGATTCGGAATGTTAATTTTTGCGTTTATTACCAATTCTTATTTGATGAATCAAGGTGAAACTTAGTCGTAAATCATCTGGTTATCCAGCTTATTTCACCGAATGCCTCTTAATCAAATAAACGTTTTATCTTTTATAGCGTTATGGGTGATTGGGTTTGAAATTTGAGCTTTGAAATTTACGGCATAAAATTGAAGCCATAACTATCACATCCGTTTGACGATGGACGGTAGAAGCGCATTTGTACTCTTCCAATTTTTCAATTTGAACAAAATTTTAAAGTTAATTTTTTAATTATATAACTTTCTGCTTTTATCTTTTCATATAAATTGGTGCCCAAGCGCAATCGTTATTTTTTTTCTCATTATTTTTTAGAGAACATGGAGATGCCTTCGCTTCTTTTGTAGAGTTCACAAATGCCACCCAGGTGGTTGTTTATCTTATTTCAAAGTGTGCGCATATATGTTTCTCAATTTTAAACACTTCTGCTTATTTTTTTAAAGAAAGCGAATCCATATGTTGCCCTCCTTCTAAACAATGCAATCTTTTCGGCTATTCCTCCAAATGTAAGCTCCTTCTCCTTTCTTCATGAGTTATTACGCTATGTTCTTTGCCATTCTGGTTTAGTCTGCAATTGTCAGAATAATAGCCGACTAATTCCGCATACATGAAAAGAGCTGTTCTTTTCACCTCAACGTTCATTATAAGAGGAATCTCTGGCACATCGAGAACTACTTGAATTGTCCCAGACAAAACGTGTTTTACCGGATAGTAACCCAGTATAGTGTGATAATTGAAATGAGGTTGGTGACACAAGTGGTGATGTGCGGGTGTTTACCTACGTTTGATCATATTTAATAGATCAATGCTAATCGGTTTCACACTAATGTGATGACTTAGAGAACAGAGACACAATGGACGCATCATCTTCGCACTAAACCAACTTCAATTGCTACTCTTAAAATATATATTAACGGGCTAAAATCCATGAAAAATATAGAATTACTGTACTGAATAGGGTAATTGCTATTTTCTCTATTTTTCTACATCTTTTTTGTGTGCCTCTCCATCAGCTGGTGGGTCAGACAATTAAACTGGCTGTAAATACAAGGTGAATAAGAATTAGCTTCCAATGAAAGCGTGCCAATTTATTGACGTGCTACGATTTTTGTGGACCTATTGTTCGTTTGCGCATTAAATATAATGCTTGTTTGCACATAAATGCTCTACGTGTGTGTGTGTGTATATAATAATAAATGCGTGTAACTGGTAGAGGACACTGAAGGCATGACTCAAAGCACAGAGTCCATACTTTGTCTCTGAGTGTACAACCAGTCTCAGTTGCCTGCTAGTTCTATCTGGTTGGGAGCGAGAAGAGGTGATTCTTAGCTCAAGCGAAAGTTCGGGAAAAAAACTCTTCTTACATAGGAGTGGTTATGTGGTAAATGACTGGTTTGCCTGGTAAGCTAGTAACCGTACCGATGATTTCTTCACAAGTGATCCTACAGGGACCAGTGCGCTCGGGGATTTAGCTCGAGTGTACCAGAAGTATTCGATTAGTTCACGTGACACGATCTTTATAATTGATACAAAAGTCAAGTCTTTGTCAGAAATCAATGCGTTTAAGTTGGATAATGGTTAATATTGATGTGACAACGGGATTTTGAACTTCTAAAAGTTGCTGTACTTCGCTTTTCAAGCAATTCGCTGATTTTTTTAATACGAGGATCACCCTAGAGAGAGGCTTTGAAGAAGTCCATTTGGTATGCTATACTTTTTGACAATTCTGCAGTAGCTGTTTTTTGTGTGCTGTTAGCTGTTCAATTACTGAACTATTTTAATTGACTATTGCAAAAAAATGTAATAATGCTTGTTTTGATCAATTTGCTTCCAATTATACCATTTTTCTTGTTCACTTCTAGTTATCTGCTCTCCCCCTTAACAATGTCCTTAACCTCCTAAGCATGTATTTTTCAATTGTCATCTCCGATCACGATTCTTCGACCTTGAAGTGCATTGCTTTCAATGAATTATGCGTTACCGTCACATCAATGATTAACAAATTTCCCAACAAAGGTAATGATTTATCACCCTCGCAAAATAACAAGGTAGTTTATTGCAACCCCCAATCCCCGATCATCCACTGTATTTCCCTATCCGATACTTACAGGTTTATGGTATTGAATTCGTAGATTTGGGAATTTAAATGAAGATTTTCCTACTGTACATTGTATTACTTAATTAATGCCTAAACTTCTAATCTAGTAACTATGATACGCTTACAGATGGCTCATCGTATACCTCGGGCTTATCGTGAGCCAATATTCTGCTGAATAAGAGTAGGCTTTTGGATTGCAATGCAAGATCTATTTTTCTTTTTTACTCTAAACTCCCTCTTAGCGATCAGTTGCTAAGGCAAACTAGAATGAGGGCTTACATACGGCTATGGCTGTGGAAAATAAAATTAAAGGCTAGAAAAATCGTTAGTCTGACCAAAACATGTTGTAAAGGATAAATCCTTATTTTCTGATTCCTTTCATCTTAGTCGGATATCGTAAGCCAACGCTATCTTTATTATTACAGAAATCCAAACGACTGTAGAAGGCATTCTCGACTCCCTATTAAAGGTGTTCAAAACTGATTCTGCCAAGTCTCACACTCTCCTAACATCCGGTTTTGTTGTATCAGCTTTACGAAGTCTTCTAGTCTCTCAACTCCCTCTCTCTCCTGAGCGGCAACAATTCATAGATAGTCTTCTCAATATCATTTTGTCCAGCACTATCGACTACAAGATTGGACTTCAAACTACCTGCATTCTACATTCCATCCACCTTCTTTTACCTCTCTCTGGAAATTATCTAGGTGCGGATATTGAGCATGAGGAGAAAGCAGACATTGAAAGAATGGCTATGAATGAAGAAGTCTGCCATTGTCTAGTGAATCCTCTTGCTGTACAGAAGTGCTTCAGTCTAGTGGGATTGCGTCTTCGCAACGCCTGGATGGAGATGAAATCCATCTCGAACCCATCGGCGGATCAAATTAATCTTGCAGGTAAGTGCCTCGTAGAAATTAATGCAACCATTAAACAAAATTACCATATAAACAGAAAGTACTAAAAGAGTGAACTGAGTGCACACAAGTACAAAGATGTGTGAAGTCGGATTTACTATGTTAACTTTGACGATCGATAGGGCTTTGTTCTAATACCTATTTCTATAAAGGTATGTTCACGATACTGGCGTAAGATGAGTAGATATCGACTGATATTTAACAGACGTAAGCACGCATTTTCTGCGCCTAAAAGAATGTATACACTCTTAGGAGCACTAAGAATGTAAAAGGTCAAAGAATACTATTTTGAAAAGGTTATTTCATTGGTTGGAGATTTTGCATACCCTGACAATTTCGCTAACGCAATGTTCCATCGTCTCCTTTGTAATCATACAAGTGATCTTCTAGCTTGTTCGCGTTAATAATTTAGCAAATTCTGAAATATTTGAACGTCTTGAGTTCCCTATGTGGATTACTTTTATATAGTTCTCAGGAGGGATTATGGAAGCATCTTTTTTCTTTAGTTAATCGTTTTTTTTTTCGCAAACCAAAAAGACTTTTGTCATAGAAATTTACCTCATGAAACTTTATCCATTGGAGGGGGAGGGGGGGGGGAAGAAGCAGGAACTTCAAATTCATAAAGGGTATTTAAGCTTTGTCCTCCTTTTTCCCTTATTTTAATCTTCAGTGTTCTTTCAGAATGAAGTTATTGAAACGCCATTTACTCCATTACTTTCGCTCTCCATCTCTAGGCCAAAATTTTCGAAACAACTTCCATACATGTTCCAGTAGGCTGTTGTTTGTTTACTGTGTGCGATGTTTCTTTCGCCTCTTTGTTATATGAAATGTATTTTCTTTGTGGGGTGTGTGTGGGGGGCCGGGGGGGGGGGAGGGAGATGAAACCCTGCCCTGGGTCTATGGGGAAAAATAATTAGTGAAAATGGAAGTTTAAGTAGGAGGCGGTTACCGTTTTCGTCTATTTTGCCAATGAAATTTTATTTCCCATTGCCATCATTGATTGAAGGAGAAAATTTTAATATTGATCGATGCCTTTTTAATATTTAAGTCTATGAGAGATTTCCACCTTGTTGCGGTTTTAAAAATCTGAACTATGGATACTAATGTGCTGCTTACTAAATGGTGGCGGAAGGCACTTAAATCGATTGAGACGGTTGAAACGCGTGTCATTCTATGGTGACTTAGCAATTTACAAAATGCGCACCCACGATTCCTTGTTGAGATCCAAGTTGTCTTTGCCCAAAATTTTCGATCTCTATCTAGCACTTTTTTTCTACTTCTCAGACAATATTCTACAACCTATTTAATAATATCCTTACTTTGAGATAGTAAAGTTTAAAAAGCCTATCTGCGAAGCCCTTTTCTATACATTTATTTATTTCAAATGGCAGGCGTTTTGATAGTTATCAATAGCCCTTTAGTTGACTTCGGGCTTCACAGAGGGAAGGAACATCAAAATAACAGAAAGTCGAGGGGTGGGGAGATTCACAGTAGAAGAAAGTCGAGGGGTGGAGAACAGAAGAGCGATTCACAGATTAAAAGAGGCAGATAGACACAAAGGTAGAGGAAAAGGTAAGGAAAGAGACAGACAGACAGACACAAAGGCAGAGAAAAAGTAGGATGAGTACTGTGGAAGTGGTCGAATATGAGATACAGTGGGGTGATGGTAGCTTGAAGTCAGAAGTCAGCCACCGATTGATAGATATTTTTGCCGTATGAGTATACGTTGCCCATGGTGCACAACGTGGAGGTAAGTCTATCGCATACCCCTTTTCTATACATTTATATTTAGTAAAATTATAGTTTCATGAATCCCCTCTGGTGAAAAACGCTACTTCTGCTACTTCCTGTTATAAATCTGATCTAACCAATGCAGTCGATTATGCCCTTCGTTGGGCGTGCGCCAGTAGATATCGACTTTGCTAACATGCGCTCTAACTGAGGATATGTGTACTATTTCCCTTAATTTAATATTCAGTCGTGATTGAGCGCTTGAAATTTTGTAGTGTTCTTTTTTTGCACTTTACAAACCTACAACGCCTCAGTCTCCAAAATTGGCATAGGAATTGTATTAAGGAAAAATTGCTTGAATAATGGTTGATTAATCTAATTGGCCAATGCAGGCGGCAATAAGAGTACCTTTGTTGTGGGTTTGCAGCATTCCAGTCATCGAAAATCAAGTTTACTTTAATGGACTAAAACTATTCCACTTGTCTACCTAGTAGAGATGAAATCTTATATTAAATGCTGTTTTCCGTCTACGCAATTCAGACAGGCTGTCGCATGTTTCGTTGTAGCCAAACTAATAACGTCCCCTAAGTTATGGATACTATAATTTGTTGTGAAGTAACTCACTCAGGTAGAACACCGAGATGACCATTTTAGGCAACTGCATTTCCAAATACGAATTTGAGGCATTTTTGTTTACCTCCAATGTAAGTGTAAGTAGTGGCACTCTCGCTCAACCATTTCATGCATCATCTGGTTTAATTCAGTTGCATGTGAGTTGAAATTTTTCTTCGAGGAAATAGTTTTAGTTGCCATACTTTGTAAAACCAAGTTTTTACACTCACTTTCTTTCGCACATTGCATTCGTTCCCCAACCCCCACCTCTCCTTTGGGAAGCCTGGATGCAGTAGCTATTGACCATTCTATCATCCAATTATTAGATTGATTAGGTTATGAACTGCGATTTTCTATCGATTCTGTGTTGCCACCCTCCACCCTCAAGATGGGCTAAACCTAGGTGAGCTTGGGTATTACTGATATTATTGTGAGATTGCTTTGTTCCATAAATACAGTTGAGTTATTATGCATTCCAAATCCACTCTGAGTCTTCTTTGCATTCTTTATTCACTTGCAATCAGTCGGTAAAGTCCTGAATTATTTCAAGGATATTTGCTACCTGTCAGAACTTACTGTTGGTTGCGTAAGTTTCGAAGGGGGTGACTTATTATCATGCGTTGTAAATTTTGCTTCATATTGATGGAAGTTTTGCTTCACCCAATGCAATTGGGCGGCCTGGAGGTTACATTCTTTTATAAACCCCCGAATATACGTCGAAGGTTTGTATAAGCATGGATTCTACCTGCTAGTGCTTCAAGATCGATTCCAAAATACTTTCCCTTTAGTCAAGTCCAGTGGTATATACCCTTCTTCTAATAGATTTGGGGAGTTTACTGCCCGAGAAATTCATCCTGTTCGCCAAATTTTGTGAATTTTACTCAGGGAATCCGGTTTTGCTTCCCACCAGATGTCATTTTGTTCCTTTTCTCATAGTACCGCTGCTTCACATTGTCTGTCTGCCAAAGCTCTTAATAGTTTGCGTAAATATAATTTTTTTCGTGCACTTTATAACTCTTTTCGTGGGGAAGAAATGGGTTGTATTTGGGCGCTTATAAATTTAGTTTATTGTTGTCCTGAATGTAGGACATGTTGCAATGAATCGCAATCGATCAAGTAAAATTGTCCGTTTGGGGGTTTGATTAGAGTGAAAACAATTTTCTCTAAACGTTTACTCCGACTTGTTTTCTCTCTCTCTCTCCCGCCCTCTCAACTAAATCATGTCTGCTTAGTTTACTATTTCATTCTTCATAGTTGCCTGTTTAGTGTTTCAGTGCCATCTTGGCAAAATTCGAACTTTGAATCGCTTACTTACTCCTACTTCACCTTAGGAGTTATTTTTTTCTTGTATCAGTCTCATCATTATGGTTTTGCAATTGATGACCTCATAGTTCCAATTTACTTACTTTAATCGACGAGTTTTTTTGAAGGGGTGGGAAGCTTGTCATTTCCATCTCTAGCACTGAACAAAATTCTCTGCCCTTAATTTACCAAATATCAGTTCACCAATTGTGTTCGATTCGCGTCAACCTTCCCTACTTTTGCCAGCATGACGGTGTTAGTCTAGTTGACGGTAATATATAATATTGTGGCCCCTTGTCGACCAATTAACTGATTATATTTGATTGACTTGAAGGAGGATGAACAACTGGGAATGGCTCAATTACAAACTCGATTTTACTGAAAGGTAGAAGTCGTCGGTGTGGCAATCACGTCTGTTGAACAGATAAGATTATGGGCTGGGTGATTGGTTACTATGAATATCAACAAATATCTAACTGGAGTCAGTGAACAAATTGTGTATAATTTGCGAAGACGATTCAAGGAGTGGGAGGTTGTCTGCCAACCTAAAGGTGTCACTGACACATTATTTTGGTATAGGCAGGACCTCTAATGTATCAGGATAAATTTTATGCGCTCATTGTTGGTGGCCTGTGAATGGTACTCATAATCGCTTCATTTGTTATCCTCAAGTTCCAATCAGGCTTTGTACCTACATAAAGAGATGTCTTTTCTTCCATATCTACTTCACTCTACCCTGCCTCCTCTACTCGAAATAACTTAGTTACCATCACTGCGAGAAGGACACAATCTCTAGCGTCGCAATCGCGCCCTTTTCCCGCACACTTATTTCACCTTTCTCATGTGCCAAAACACAAGTCTTACATGTTTTCATGTTGCCGACCCTATAGATAGTGTGTGCGTGTGTGTGTGTGAAAGCGGGTTGGTAACAATTCCAAGGAAACAGAACTCTGAGTTGTCTTCTTTTCACACCCATTCACTCAAACATGCGTTTTTATCTTCAGTTCTTTTTCGCAAGATTGCATAAAGAGTCATAGAGGTCTTAGAAACCTCACTATTATTCTGTCGAGAACTCTATGCCTTTGCAGAATTGTAAGTGAAATAGAAGTAGAAATTGATTGAGATTAAGCCCTAATTAAACAATGAATAACGGAATATGGCTTCCAAAGCAGCGAGTCTTTAGGGTGTCTATAGTCTACTTAAGGTGGTTGTTTTAACACGCTTTCCTTAAAGTTACTTATTTCACAGTAACCTAAATCATGCTATTACTTCTCCTGTTTCCCCTCCCCCCCTTTTATTTTGTTCAGATTATTTTGTTTCATTAATCATTTTCCGCATCGAATGTTAATATATATATATATATTTTTAACAACTATCGTCAGATCTTACTTATTATTAATTAACCATGGTTATATATTTCCCGGTTTGTAGAAACCTTTCTCCACGGATATCTGCATCTTGTCTCTCTACTTCCAGACGATATTGCTGGAATATACGCTTCTGAGGTTAGTTGATCTTTAGAATGGGAGTTGTATTAATACTGACGTGGATGATTCTATACAGTTAAAGACTTCAAAGTACGTGTGCTCGAATGTATTTATTTTTATTTATTCGGCAAGGCAAACCGTGACTTACAACGTGTGGTCCTGGGGGGAGGGGGGGGGGAGGGGAGAGTGGTGGAATCTCTAAGCCTTTGGACCACATTTAAGTTGGAACTTGCGAAGAATAGACTTCCCACTAGCATTCATCAGTCAGATTTCGTTTTCTGCCATTGAGCAGCATCTGCTTGGTGTGTCCCCAATGTGTGCGTTTGCAGATTTTGAGGTACTCATTTTCGGTGTATGAGATTTCATAAACATTTCATCTTTCCTGTATTTATTTACTCGATCAGTGAGTTTATTGCGCCATATAAACAGGTTCATTGCGTGACCTACTTATGTTTATACTCTTACCATTTATGGTAAGATTTTAGTTTGTCATCAACTCCCCACCTACAGCTTGGTATAAGGTACAGAAGCATTACCTACCCTTAATTCTTCTCTAATTTGCCAAGAAACAGGATTGAAGGGAATCATAGTCACTTAGTAAGCTTAAACTTCTCAGGTCCCTGGAAGAGGACTCGTAGCTGGAGCAACGCTGTTGGCAAATAAATGGTTGTCTGGTTCACTAATAGTCGTGGCGATAGGTTCACCATTGGTGGTTTTAAATATGCATATGGGAATTTAGAATTCCAATAGTCGATATTCCAGCACGGGTCTAATGATAAATATCATTCATTTCAAATGGCAGGCGTTTTGATAGTTAACATTAGCCCTTTAGCTGACTTCGGGCTTCACGGAGGGAAGGAGCATCAAAGTAACAGAAAGTCGAGGGGCGGGGAACGGAAGAGTGATTTACCGACGTAAAAGAAACAAACAGACCCAAAAGCAGTGAAAAGATGAGATGAGTAACGTGGAAGTGATCGAATATGACATACAGTGGGGCCATTGTAGTTTGAGTCAGAAGTCAACTGGCGATTAATAGAATCTTATTCTTATGGTTTTTCTTTGCCTTCAAATGTATTAGGCCCTTGAAGCTGCTGTCCTAGGAGTGTTGGAAGAGACCAGCTGTCCTATTAGGCAACAGACTCGGGTACTAAGTCTTAAGGTGATTGCAAGATTGGCTGCTGCTCAACGTTCCTCTACCTTCGCCGATACACCAACTCTCCTGCCATCTACCGATTCTGCAGACGACTTACTTGAGAAACTCACCGCTCTTAGACTCACTCTTGCGGACGCTGATTCATCAGTATGTTCTGTAGTGGACTAATTTTCAGTATTAAATATCCATGGTAAAACTTGAACACCAAAACTACCACTTTCAGGTTTTTTTATTAAATTGAATGGAGAGGTCTTTGAAATTCGGTGATTAGCCTTAGAGTAAAAATGGCAAGCCATTATAAGCACGACCACACGAAAATGCATTTGTTTTTTTGTTGTAACAAAAATGGGAAAAATTGCTGCAGTCGTTTTCTTCTCTACAGCATATTCTATTTGACAAAAGTTGCTGCATTAATGGCGTTTATTCGCGGTTTTTTACTTGAGCTATTTCTTGTTACACGCGCACGCGCGCGGGAGACAGGTATCTACAGGCTTCCAATTATGAAATTACCCTTGAACTTTGCTCTTTTGACCAATATTAGCGTGTGTTCTGTCTTGGTCATGGGTCTTTTGTTGTTTTTATTGTGGTGGACGTGCACGTTTTCACTGCCTACTCCGATTCCATATTTGTTGCCTCACCCCAAAATACCCGAGTTGAGCAATTGACAGCTTCCCCCCCCCCATATCTTCCCCTTATTAACCTACTCTGGTGCTGGTCTAAATTGGCCGCACTTGCAGGAAGGGCTATTGCGAAATTTGATTTTCAGGGTGTTAATGCGAATATTATGATCTGTAGAACTTGATATTTATGTCTCCCTAAGCAAGTTACGCATGTTTATTGCAATTAATGACTCCATGTCGCAAAGTGTCTCAATGGACTGTAGTCTCGATTGAAAGCCCTGGTAACTATTTATCTTATTTCTGGTAACTAGATATTGATGAAAATGTGAATGCTGCCGGTAGTACGGTCACTGATCTAATGTAAATAGTAGGTCAAAGTAGGTGATAGCTTAGTTTGCTAGAAACTCGGCTATTTAAATTTATTTTACGACGTGGCAATTGAGTGGGGGTTAATGAGTTTTTAGGTAATCCTACATTCAGAAGCCCCGGATGTGTGGAAGTTACAGTTGCGCTCTGAATTCTTTTACTAAATGGATGTTGGTGCTTATGGTAAACGCGATGGCTGTGGCCGAATAACTGGAAATAATTCAATTATCAGAATTATCATTCATATTGCTGGTGACCCAATCAGATAAGGTTTCCAATGAGTTTAGGGCATACACGTTCTTCGGTTCGATTAGTACATATTCGACAACATTTCAAATTTCCCTTATCGCCAGTAAAGGCCATCTTCAAGATTACCAATTTACGTATTTTCTTACACTTAATATTCACTATTCCACCTCCCTGTGAAAGCCTTTAACGATCTACTACGTTCTATCATATTTTTGAGTACTGATCTCGTTGGTATTTTTTTAATGGATTTAAGGTGCGGATTAGATTGAAATCCATTACTACCATGGTGCATTAAGGAAGATTTCCTCTTTAACACCTAACCTCATTTTCATACATACCGGAAGGTTTTTGGGTGTGGTAGCGGCGGCTACAAATAAACGACGTTGCCTTTACTCCGTTTCAAGGTCAAACTAAATCCAACCACCGAGGAGGATACATTTTCTTTTAAAACGAGTTTTTATTTTCACAAAGAAAACAAGAATTCCGAATGAAATGTGATATACAATATGAGCGGATGTACCCGTTCTCGCGAGTGTTGCCTAGTTAATAGCACTTTACTTCTTCAGGTCTTATTTTAAAGTAACATAAGCCCTCACTGTTTTTATATTTGCTAAAAATGGTCCAATTTTTTTCCGAGCTCCCTTTATCAGCTCTCTGTCACTTAATCTCTTTGGAATTGGCTTAGTCGTTGGTAGAATATCTGCCTTTTTTGCCAAATTTCTCTCTCTCTTCCTCTCTCTCTATTGCCATCTTCATGTGTTCACGTTAAGCTTCTAACTCTACACGGAGGCCATTAAAAGATGGAATATTCCTTCTCATTAACCTTCGATCAACTGGGTGTTACATTTTTAAGCCTGTGAAAGCACACAAAGAGAAAGATGTGCGCAAGTCTCTGTCTGAGTAATTTGAATTAACCCCCCCCCCCTCCCTCCCTCCTTTTTGCCGTCATTTTAATCATTGTATATGCACGCCCTATCGCTATCTACCGCCCATAATTTCCACCTAATTTATCGATGGCTTTCCTAACCAATTCTTTTTTTCTCCTGTTCACTGATTGAACAGCTTAGTACATCTAACCTACGATTCAATTTGGCTCGTTGTTTGCGTTTTCTTGTCGACCTTCCGCCTCCGGTGACATCGAGACATCGAAAGGGCGTTAAGCTTCTTCTGGAGGATCTGCTTGATGACAACTGTCAGTCTGTACGACTGGAAGCTGCCCGGGCAAACAATGAGTGGTGTGTCAAGGTGTAGTCAGATGTCATGTCAAATGCTACCACTTTACATAACAATTATGCTAACCTGTGAATTGCTTGATTTTAGCTAAATAAATCGAATTCTTGCATATTTATTTTGTAACTTGGTTTTGACAAGGTGGGGTTTGTCGTTGTACTATTGATACATTTTCCCTACAATCAGGTGGAAGCCTTTAAATAGGACGAATATATGAACACTCTAAAGCCGTTTAATCACAAAAGGCCGGGCTCATAGTCTATTGTTACTTCTCTGATTTTTTTTTATCTAACGAAGTCTTGATTATTGATTTCTACACTCATGCCTCCAATTTCCGCTCTCACAAGTTGTGTAATTATGCAATTATTCTATGTAAGCACACTTATTACATCAGTAAACAACGGTTGTTTGAGCCACGGATTTCCTTTCTGAGACAACTAACGATGGGAGTATTAGGACTGCATAACATTATATCAGAAGTTTGATTAAGTCAAACTTAATATAATTACGAACTGAGAGTCCTTTGCGGGAAAATATATCTGAAAAAAGTTGGCACCTTGCGACAATTAATTGAAAACTCACATTCGGTCCACTGGCCAGTGCTAATCAGTGCTCCATTGAGATTGCGCTTAAATCTAACTTTTAACCTTACCGACATGTGCGCTACCCTCAGCTGAACGCAACTTACTGCATTATCTTACGCAATTTCTTGTTTTTTTAGGTTTGCGCATGAATTAGTTCTTGTGATTAGAATGAATATGCAGGCTTTAGTGAGATGAATTAGAAAGAGGAATCCAAGTCACACTGTAAATTATCTGATATGATTCATGTTTAAAAACAACTAATTCAAATGAAGTCAAAAGGCTTAATTAAAAACACTCGAAGTCACGAATGTGAGAGGTTTCTTGGCTTACAAGAGGACGCTATTAAACATAATAATCACAATCGGATTTAGTTGTTTTTTATTTCGATTTAATGAATCCGCCACATTTATATCAGGCATTTTCCATCATAGTAAAAATATGAAAATTATTATTGTTATTTCAAATGGCAGGGTTTATGGTATTTATCATTAGCCCTTAAACTTTGACTTCACCTTTCCCCATGGGTGGGGGAGGGTTACATATATAGCAGTTCATCAATAGCAGTTCATTAGCTGTCCTCTGGCTTCCCAGTAATTATGGGTTTTTGTCGTTGTCTTTAGGGCTGGGCACCGAATCATGTGGGTCTTTTCCATTTCCTCCTGTAGGTTACATAGGGGGCATGTTGGGTGAGTATTTACTCCTAATCTGGGAAGATGTTTTGCCTGGCAATCGTGTCCGATACGGAAATATGAAAAATATATTCGTAGAAGGCACCCTCCATTTCAGCACCCTCTTCTTGGGCCTTTTTACTTAAAATCTAAAATAACTAAAAAACGCACTTCCCAATCCTAAACTGCACTTGAATGGGCAAGGTTCATGAAGGCATGTTAAGATGAGGATAATGTATGAAATCACTAATTGGGTTGAGAGAGTATCGATATAGCGATTCACCTGCTGTTCCCAGAAAATCATACCACTCCCAGTCACCTCACTAATGGGTAATTCTCTCTCCCACTCTCTCCCGGCTACATTTCCATTACTTCGAGTCGCTTGATCCATAACGCACATGATACGCGCCAGCTGTAGCAAGAGCTGGAAATTTCTTAACTGGAATTGCAAAGTGAATAGCTCTTACAGTTAAATATGAGCTTTTTGAAACTCAGTTCTTAAGAGCTGGGAATTGCTAATCAAGTAGGAGGGCTGTCATTAGAAAATTCCTAACTCTCTTAACATGGTACAAATTTACAATTACTTTAAATCCAATTTTCCATTTTTAATAATTAAAATCTCCCAGGGGCTATTAGCGGCTCTTTTTTGATTGCTAAAAACAGATACGCTTACTATTTCTGTCTCATATTGGCATTTACATTCTGAATCGCACAACAATAATTTACGTAGGAGGGTGATTAATACCTAATACCACGATGATGCATGTGTATATATTGCGTTTACATATTTATTTACAACCTTCAATAAAACACAAGGAAAGGAAAGCGCATTAAGAGAAATGATAAAGCATTAGCATTAGAGTGTAAGAGGTGACGAAAGGGGGAAGTGATGTGAGGAGAATAAGTAAGAAAAAATGTTTGATGGGAGAGATACCTTATTCGGTTAACACAGCACATCTTTAGTGTTGGTGTTAGTTTCGGTGGTGGCTTTGTGTGGAAGATTGTTATTGAAAGACCATTAGTGGTATAATAGTTTTGGCTTTGTACACGAATTGGGAGTGGAAACATATTGAGCTGTATTTCTGCATGAAGGTTGGTGGGGATGTGTGTAAAGCTTAGGCACCTTCGGGGTTGAGAATTGAGCATTAAGCAGTCTACTCCGCTGGAGTAGACTCAGTTGCAGCTGTTGGAGTAGATTGAGCAGGAGAGGATTCAGAAGAGACTTCCTTATTTGCTTGTGCCTGTTTGTCAGAGCCTTCAGCTGCTGCTGTGGACGAAAGGACAGGTGAAGAAGTTACAATATCTTCGTATTCTTCGTCCTCATCGTCTCCGTCTTCAATACCTGCGCCACCGCCACCACTCTCGGATGCTATTAGCATCTCGTATGTGTCTGACGCGTAGCGATCCCAGTCTGATACCTCTGTTAGGCCTTCTTCAATATCCTGAAATGTGAGGAAAATGTTTAGGTTTCAGTGGTGACTACTCGACCTTGTCATGCCATGAACTCTATGCAATCGCACATTGCTTAAACAACGGGTTAAAGTAAAATACAGTCAATTCTTTCCAAAGTGAATAAAATTTCTTTGGGATTTTCCCTTATATCGATTTCCAGTTGCTCAAAATTTTAAATGGCAGTGGCATTCTTTTCTTCACTTAAAGTTGAAGTGGAAAAGAAATTATGGATTTGAGTGATCATGGCTTTCCATCTCAATAAGTAACCATTTTTAACTGCGTCAAAAAGTTGCTCATTGATTCATTCAAATTCTCTAAAGCCCCGTATTCACCTCATATCTCTCTTCTCTCCTGGGGTTAGAATTTTATTCAGTTCTATTCCCCTTTACCCTCTCCTATACCTACTTGTGTCTCAACACCAATTTCTGTCTACCCCAATTTTTTTAGAGGAATTGACAAAGTTTGAAAAGGCACATTTATGACCTCAAGAGCAATAGCCAACACTCTATAAAGTTAAGATATTAGTTTGAGCTCTGGAATTTTTCTGGCAGAAATCTCTATTATACAAAACCGTGCAAAATGAAGAGACGTTATGAAAACTTGAATTTATTTTTATCAATGCTTAAATTATGAAAAAGTGCCTTCCCAAGCTCTCCTTTTTGTCCATATCACCTTTGCGCTTCCCTTAAATTCGCGTAGGCGCAGAAGTATTAAGGCAACTTCCCACTATATTCCTCTTCCAATTGCAGACGTGTGTGTGTGTGTGTATGTGTGTGTGTGTGTGATCTCTCCTTTTCTTTTTATTACAACAGGAATAGCTTTGACAGCAGTGACAGTGCTGGCACTTAAGAGGCATGAAGTCTTGTCAAAAGCATGCCACTAACCGGACTGATAGCTCTATTTTGTCACAAAAAGATAGTCATTAACAGAAATATGTTCCGATGAGTCATGATAGCTTAGGTATCCAAGGAGTGAGAGATGAATTACAACCCCCAGAGACCTGGTTCACTTACACCGTCAGTTAACGAGCTATGCTACTGGTGCCTAATGACATTCATAGACAGAGGCGGCAGTAACAAACGCAATTGTCGTCGTTATTATCATATTGGTGAATCACAAACATGGTCCAGATTATAGTAATAGCTAATGAAGTGCAAGAAGTATGACACCGGTTTTGCTTTTGCTATGACACTGCGATATGTGGATGACTTGGAGAAACATTTTCGTCAAGCTTATATGCATAACATGTCGTTTTGGGGCTGATACAAAAAATCGTATAGTTCCCACACACTTAAACCTTTTCAGGGAAGCTGAAAGTTAATACCATGGCTAATTCAAGTACAAAAAGTTTAAAGCCATATGTATTAGGAGTTTCCAATTAATTGGGCTTTCTACAATATTATGCCATTAAACGGAACACTGACATAAATAAATTCCAATTTCAAAATTGCTCGAAAGCCTTCTCTATTTATTCACAATTCGAAATCGGATGAATGTTCAAATAAGACTGCTGAAACTGCCATTTGGGAGCCGTCAGCCATATAATATTGGCAGAAAACTGCTCTAGATTGAATGAGTTCAAAGAAATCCTTGGTTGAAATACTTAAGAGGTAGACTTATTCGTATAGATTTCGCCCTTGAACTGTGAAAGTCATTTCAGTTAATTTAAAGGAAAAAATACAGAAATAGTGTATTTAAATTACGAAAGATACTAATGTGCGAAACTTAAGACTAACTCTGCAAAATTTAAGTGCACGCATTTTGAGTTCCTCAAAACAGAAATAGGGTAATGAAACCATTTCTCTCAGGTCAGAAGTGAGCAAAAGCATGAACTAAGCAGGAATATATCAACAACTGGCAAATGAGGAAATTTAAAAGCCCCATTACCAGGAATAAATAGAAAACTCCCATTTTTTCTCTGACTTTCCTTATAAATAAACTAACATATTATAGAGCGATAAAGGACACATACCCTCAGATTGGAGAAAGGATCCCGTTGTTCATGCTGCAAGTATTTAGGCAAATTGAAAAAGGTGTCAAAGAAGACAGGACAGAGGTTACATTTCTTGAGATCAGAGAGACGAATCTTGTCAGGGATGGCAGGTCGGACCATATCTAAACACTGGCAGAGACAATCTTCTAGGGTTGGTGGTTCAATACCCATCTCTTCCATGCGTGCTGATTGCTCCGAGTAGAAGTATTCCAACTCGTAGAGGGAAAGAACTCCATCACCATCTAAATCCATACACCGGAACCAGTATTCGATACTGTAGGAAAATGAAGAAATATATTAGCAAGCGCCAACAGAGTTTAATAACTTGAGTTTATTTGGTCATTGGAACTTTTAGTGGAGTTGTTTTAGTAAGAAAATTGTATTTTACTCCCCCCCCCCCCACCCCCACTTTTTGACCAAAATTCATTGGTGCGATCGGTCACCCCTGCCCATATTCCTTATTAGTCAATTTTGTAAAAATTAATTTCTTATTATCATTAGATTCGATGTCTTTCAGACGAGACAGAATTTGAAATGTCTGGATATCAAGCTGTCCCAAACAGATACTGGCAAGATATATGTACGCGAAAAATCAAATACTACGCTAAGTGAAGTTTTAGAAGAGGACAAGGCCAGCTTTTCCGGAGAGGTCGCAAAACAGAAAAGAGAGGGTGGACAGATAAAGAAGTAGAAGGGCTTGATTATTACTTAACGGACCCTGGCATAACTTCATCTAGCGGAACTAGGTACGATGTCCACCAGTGCGCTTCAAATAAGTGGAATTACCAGCCACATTGATCAGGTTTGGTGAAGTAAGATGGGGTTCTTACGAAACGAGTTAAGAAAAGGAGAAAATAGAGATGGTCATTAAAACGCCAATAGAGGTGGAATTGACAGAGAAGAGATAAAAAGTTATGCCAATTGCTTTAAAAATGGAAGAGAGGACTGTTTGTCCAAAGGTGCCAATTCATGTGAAAATTATCCCCATTTGAGGCCCAATCTAATGGAAAATAGGGCAGTGGGGTATGACTAATAGTATTTGGGCATGACTAAAAAAATTTCACGTGCCAGTAGCTACTACTGATACTGAAATCCATACAACGCCTTGTGCAGTATGCAGCATTTAGCATGCTTTATTTATTCATTTTTATAAATAAGCCAAGAGTAAGAGTCTCCCGTAGACTTCTACTAAAAACACTATCCTAAGTGGTCATACTTACACAACTTGGTTACTAGCAAGGCTTTCAGATCCACTCCCCATAACACAGCCTACATTCTTCTACTCGTTTAAGAAGAGTGTAATGCGAAAAGACACGAAAGTCATACAGACATGCGAAGTAAGGCAAACGGTTCATGCAAATTTTAGCGAAAAAAGCAACATATCACATACATTTCTCAACTAGATATCGCTCTATTGCAACCTCTTTACGCGTGTCACGAAATAAGGATGCGTGTTTATTCTCGTTTTCTGTGGTTGACTTTACTGAAGAAGTAGACAAAGACGGCAAATTGCCAAACACATTCTTCTGGGGGAGAATAGAAAACAAGGTACGGGGGGGGGGTAAGATGGATATCATGCAACTTGATGTCTCAGGACCAATCCACTTCATACTTTGCTTTATTCGATTAGTGTTTATAAAACTGGCTAAACACCGTTGACGAAAAAAGACAACTAAATGAAGTACCATAAAAGATATTTCCAGTTAAGGGGATAAGAATGCACATAGGCCATGGAAAATAATGACAATAAACGCTGATATGGGCTGACAAAATTTTGACATTTAGTGTTTTCGACAAATAAGATTATTGAAAAATATTTAGCTCAATTTTAGGCACCTGGAAAATGAATGCCACTTTTAATTATGGTAAAGTTGATTAGAGAGCTTGAAATGTACAACTAATCGAGTAGAATGCAATATATTTCAATCGAGACTCGAATAAGAGCAAAATAAATAAATAGCCCGTAAAACAAATAAACTTAATAGCCATCATTTTGAGTTCATCAATTATCGATTAATTTTTTTTTCACACAGGAAATAAAATCTCCTTAATATCCTTCTGGATAATAGAAATCTCCACTTATGCCATACCTACACAGCACAACATGAAGAATCGTGGTATCTAATAGGGATTGTGCTTACTGTCTCAGAAGAGACCTGAGTTGATTAAAGCAAGTCACAAACAGGTTAGTGTAAGTGATAGTATTAACCAATAAATCGATGGCAGCTCACCTTCGAGGATGTCGTTTGTCTTCTTCGGCCAGAAGGAACCACACAAAGTCGGAGTAAGTCATTGTACCCTCCTTGAAAGAAGTTTGACTAAAATTTAAATTTAAACAAAATATTTCATTTAGTTTTGCACACTCGCCATCCTTAGATTAACTGGAATCCATTCATATACCTATGGGCGTACGTAGACGTCTCATAAAAGTGCAATTAAATGCTAAACATCGATACCAAGATGAAAATCAATAAAAAACTTTGTTGCGATCGTGTGTGTGGGTTGAGCTTACCGGGTAACTGCACCGCTGAATATTCGATCGATCATCCTTTCAGAGATAGCTGAAACAAATAAAAGCAATAATATGTTTATTTACTATTTGGATTCAAACAGTAACAGTTAAACTTGTAACTTCAAATTTTATCGAAAACCTTAAGGTGGTAGTCATCTTCTAGAATTATTAAAAGTATTTATGAGTTTTTAAAAGATGGCATATTGCAAAAAATGTAATTAATAATTCTACCATTCCCAGTTTTATTCAAATAAGTGATATATTGTTAGGAGAATTGAATGATACGAGATAAACTCATAGATTTTATAATCTTGCATTGCAGATAAAGGGAATAAGCTCAGGTAGTCAATATAGACACCTTGTTAAAGCAAAAGCATGAAATATCCCTCCCCCNCCCCCCCCCCCCCCCCCCCCCCCCTCCCCCCTACTCAACAACCAGCTAGTCTGATTAGCTTAAAATCTAAAAAAGGAGAACATGCAACCGCCCTTATCAATGATCTCATATCTCTCACTCATCAACGTGCCAGAAGTTAAAAGTTCTATATTCTGTCAATCTATCGCTTTAAAATATAAAAATTCTGGTAACTGTTTTCTGGCTATTATCTCTGAGTCTATTTGAAAAGAAATCAGGTGACTCTGAATAGAGGGAGGGCAAATTTCAAACGAAACTCGTATTATATCATCCCCATCTCATAGACCAAAACTTAAAAATGTAACAAACCAACCATAACACTGGTAGGTAGATAAATATCTGCATTAAATTTATTTCACTTGAAAAATTAAATATCTTCAAATAAGCAATAGCATAAATTAGCATGAAATCGAATAAAGTGATGTAAAGAAATATCATACCGTAATTATTATGTCGAGCAAGATCCGCTTTACTAATGATGAGATCGTGATTTGTATCTAACTCCCAGAATTTGCAGTAGATCACATAGAAGTGTTCATAGGAGAAGTACTGTGTAACCAGGTTGATGTCCTCCTCTGTTTCAAGGGAAGCGAGTACAGCAAGAAAGTTTGATCTTCGTAATTCACCCAAACTTATTCGACCTGACCAAGAGGTGTTTGTGCAGAAGAAGATTCGAGATACTACAGTTGTCACGTATCGCGCGTGAAACTCCGGTGCTGCCTGGAGGAAGTTTAGGCTTGGGTGAGTGTCCACAACGTCCTAGATGAGTGAGGGAATGCCATCAATAGAGTGGTCTCAATTGCCATGATTAACGTTTTATTGCAGCAAAAACAAAAACAACACATGATAACACTAACTAACTTCATTGATAAGGACTATTTTCTGTAATGCAGTTGAAGCTTGTTAACCCGTTGAATGTTCTTTCAAGAAGTTGCTAGGACTATATTTGATACACATTAATATTTATAAAGCTTATTTACAAATGAACATGGCTCCTGGTGCTAAAGTAGATAAACTAATCATAAATGCCTCACCAACGGGTCGATAATCCATAGGAAAAGCGGTGTAAATGAACCAGTCAGTAACTTTAGAAACTATGCTCAGTATTTACAGTACACGGGTGGATAAACCCAACTTTAAAATCGCCAAACACATCTAATTTAACTTTATCTATGTTACGAGGATTCTCTAATGACAGCAAAAAAACTCTTTTGAAGTTGTTTTGCGGTTAGTGCTTTCTATAATTCTTTCATATTAAAGAGTGATTACCATCATTACTAAAGTAACAACTAAAAATCTACTGCCCTTTACAGTAGGAAACAATGCCAAAACTTATTTAGAGGCAAATGAAGTGAAATTGCAAGGTAAAAGATTAATTTTCTCTCTGTAGTACACTTTATTCATTTAATCATCGCACACAAAAAACGCTCACACACACACGCCTGCTGAACTTGTATGATGACTTGTAATACTATGAATGTTTTTGGCAAATAATAGGCAGCTGACATCATGTGTGATGTGTGCAAGAGCGTTGTTGAAAGAACAATACACAGGTGGTTTAGAAAATGTGTCAGCACCTAATATCGATCAACAACTAGTAGGAAATTTTGTTAGAGATCTGAACGGAATTCATCCCTCGAATGCTCAACTATCGCTTAATGGTTTCCACTTGGCAATGAAATGCTATTACAGCCGATCAGACTCCATCTATCCAGAGCCATACAAGTGCTGGTATTTTCTTAGTAGAAATCGGTTATTGCCTTTAAGACCGTTAAGCAAGATAACTATTGCCAAAATGAGGTGCATTTCATCAATTGATATGATTATTTAATATGGAAAATAAAAAATGGTTGGAGTAAATTATTTTTTCCCTTATTTGTTAAGGTTCAAGACGGAAAATTTATAAAACCAATGGCTTATATGCAGCAAGATTTAAATTGGTCCGCATTTTCATTTTCACTTGTTTCATAGTAGTATGCTTCCAAATATCACAGATGACACAGTGTTATAGGAGCTGACTGAAAGTAGATCCCTATAAAGATCTATAGACGTTTAACTGTACATGAATGTACTTGGTTACCAGTATAATATGAAGTTCAGGAAACGTCTGATGGAATGCAATGATTATGAGGAATCATTATATAAGTACATGTTCAGATCGTTGGCAAGATTTTCAAGACTTTTCATGTAAAAAACGTGGTCTTTATTAGAATGGCCCTTAATTTGTTTAAGAAACTGGAAATGAGAGCTTATTTTCAGGTTAATTTTCAAATAAAATCCCATGAATGTTTATTTCCCTCAAACCAATTGCATTTCCAACGTGCGATAACTTCATATGAACCCTAGTTGAGTCCAACCATCTTTAATCATGAAAAGTATCACTGTTCTCATTAGAATATGAAAAAAGCACATATTCACCGCTATATCAACTTAATGGTTTAGTAATATCAAATTAGGCATTCTATTCCACAGAGTTTGGATTTTAAGAAAAAAATTTTCGATTCTAGCTTAAAGCCAACAAATACAATGACCTACTTATACAATAGGAAAATAAAAGTGGTGACTCCTTCAATCTGCATGGTTGCATTGTACATTATTGAGTCATTTGAAATGTGCAATTTCATGAGAATTCTTGAAAAGTCTTGAATTTTATTACTTCATTCCATGAAAAAAAGTGCATTGATACATGAACAGATTTAAAAAATGTCTAGAAGCCGTAAGTAGAAGAGAGGGCAGCAAATCCTCAATTGAGAATGAGAATTAAGTAAATAAAGGAAAAGAGATATGAGCTGAATGCATGCACCAGAATGTACAGTTGTTCTCAAAACAGAAAATATAAAAGGCCAACCGAATGCTATGCATTAAATACTATCGAAACATACTTCCAAAGGAGAATGATCGCCTACATTGAATCACAATCTACTAAGGAAAAGCTATGCAGGATTTTCCAAATCAGCTTTTACTTCACATCTTCCCAGCATAAAGCTATCATTACAAAGAATGCCCTATTGTGATGGCCAAAGGTGCCCTTTTAAAGGGGTGGAATTAAAAGGTCATTTAAAGAAAGTCAAAACTATACTTTAGCAGGAGGTTGATAACTACACTATACTGTCAATGTACTTTAAGGCTTAAAAATAGAAAATAAATAGAGTTACCCAATTTGTCAACCGTTGGTCAAGAAAAGGACATGTTTAGACGTCCTTAAATCTGTTCATTAAAGAAGAGATCTTGCTCAATTAAATAAATATGTGACACAATTCCCTAGGATTTTGAAGAAACGTATTTTTGAATATAGTTTCTTAGTCTGAGAGAAGTCAGTTCCAAGCCTCTAATAACTAAGGAATATGCCCTTTCACGTGTCACCAGTTTTGCCATCTTACCAAACTCGGGAAGTGTCCTGTGACGCTACTACATAATTATTTGTTTTTTTTATTTGAACCTACTCTCAAGAAGGACATACAATTATGCATACTTAACCTCTAAGCTTGGCCTCCGAAACTACTTAATTAAGAAAATCAGATAGGAGCCACAAATTAACAATATCCAAGTAGGGTCTAGATACTGACTCTTGTGAATAAAGTGAATGCAAAATGGAAGCCTGGCATTTCAGGAATATATTTATTTCAAATGGCAGGCTTTATGATATTTATCATTAGCCCTTAAAATTCTGACTTCAGGAGGAAATGGAGAAGACCCACCTGATTCGTTGTCCAGCCCTAAAGACAAGGACGGAAAGCCAAAGATACTGGGAAGCAAGAAGACAGCTAGTGAACTGCTATTAATTAACTGCTATAAATGTACACCCCCCCCCCCCCCCCACCCTTGGGGGAAGCTGAAGTAGGGGGGAAGTCAGGAATATAAATTTTACGCAATTACATTTAGTACAATTAAATCTTTAAATCCAAGACTTAGCGCTGTCATTTTATTGAATTGGCTAAAATATTCTAAAATATTGAAGGCTCTAGAAGAATGCAATTTGTACACCGTTAGCATGATAATTAACGTTGAATAAAACTCTGAGTACTTTTGTGTTTAAATTACCTCTACCATTTATCGGAGTATTAGAACAATGACCGCATTTTAAAAAAAAATTTTAATAAGTCGCACTTATAATGGATAGGATTTCAAATCCTACTCAAATGGCTGAAATCAGAATATTTAAACACTAAACACGAAAAACTCATCATAAACCTAATTATTGAAACTAAAGACCCAACGCGTTCAAATGAAGTAAGACCATTTTGATTACCTGCCCCTACACTATGATTCCACTCGACTCTGTCATTACCTCTAACCGGACAAATTTACCATCCATGGACTTCTAATTATTTGCCGAGAATAAGAAGTGTGCTTTTGGTAGTTGAGAAGGCATTTAACACGTTTAAATTACCATCTCGCAATTTATAAATCAGGTGCAAAGGGTGCGCATTAATAACTATATTAGGGACAGAATATACTCATTATAAAAAGTTAGGAGAGAAAAACAGCTCCACTTACTTGAATTATAGGCCAGAAATCATCTGGAACTAGATGTTGTGACTTTCCTTTCGTTAATAGATAGACGAACTGAGAGGCAGGATCGTTACAATTCTCTAAAACTCTACAAAAGGAACACAATGTCGTTAGAGAAATCATTAAAATAGAGTTAATTAACCAGCGCCCCCACCCCCCCCNCCCCCCCCCCCCCCCCCCCCCCCTCGAATTCAACATCACAGGACTCAAGATTTATTTATTCACTGTCAGGTTTCTTATATTCAAATAGGCCTTGTCCATCCTAATACAGCCTATAGTGAGATGACTTTACTGCTGTGGAGAACATTGGATGCGTTAGATATATAATACAGGACTATAAAGCCAGTAAAATTCAACTTCAAAGAATGTAACTGGACTTATTTCCTTTACGTCAAATAATCCCACTTTATAGCAATGTCTCCCCCCCCCCCCCCNCCCCCCCCCAACTGGATAAGAATTAAAATTTTGATCACTGACTTTGGAGACAAGTACGTTAACCAAGGCCACTATGATTATTTTCTTACTTAGCTTTCAAAGGATCTACGATCACCAATGGATACGACTTTTAGAGTAAATCCTTAAATGAATAGCTTTTTGCATTTAAGCATCGGTGCCATTTTTTAATCTGATTACTGAAAAGAAATACGAAATGGGAATCATAAGTTTCAATATTTGACGTAATAATGACAAAAAACACTAGTGGAATCTGATATCAAATTTGGGAAATCGTGAACCTTTCCTCAGATCGAGTTATCTTTTGTGGTGTTAGGTTTTCGAAGACAGAAACGCTATCTCAGATCGCTCAGGCAGAAAATTGCTCTTAAATGTCTTTCACCTTCCTTTGCTTTATTACCATGTATGATTGACTAATATTTCCATAGAAAAGTTATTAAACTAAATAAAAAGCCCACTTTAACTTTAATTGCCAATAAGTTTGCAAAGCTTAGTTTTGTATTGTGTACAAATCATGAGTCTAACCAAAGGTATTCATCAATCCATGAAATTTTCATAACAACACTCAAATAATATTAAATTTCAGAACAATTTCCAAATGAAGGCTAAATATTGAAAAAAAAACACTTCAAGAAAAAACTTCGTACAATTTAAAAAGACACTATCTCAAATTCCAGAAGTAAGGGCCTCCTCGACTAGCATACTTTATAAATAGAAGAAGTTAACCAAGAGTAAATAGGAACATACCGACGCCAGAAAGCGAGAATTGAAGAGACAGGGACTGATTTGCTGTCGGCATCGCCACCAGCGGCTTGGAAAAGTGCGCGTTTCCAGTAAAGAGGACAACCGCATGCCTGCAAATGCGAGAAAGAGGTAGAGGGTGACCGTTAAAGGAGACAGCAAATGAATCATCGGACGACATGTATAGAAAGTTCGTTACTACTTTCGTCCTGCCACGCAACACCAATTAAATATTAAAGCCCAATAGAATAATTACAGTTCACTTTGGCAGAATTCTAACGCTCCATCCTTCATGCATTCGATTATCAATTAAAGGATTTCTACACCAACACCTGAACAAGTACGAAAACTACTAAAGCACTAATCACTACAATTATGGGCTAACAAGGCTGCCAATCATTTACCACGTAATCAATTCCAAGTCCTGTCCTTTGTGCCCCAGGTCTTTCCCTGACCCCTCTCCTTCTAGGGAACTTAAGAGCAGTGTCTTTCAGATGTCAATACAGATTTTGATTTACTATTATTGCTTGTGGAATTTGAGGGTAGAGAGAGAAAGAGAGTGGATGGTCAAATTTGCAGTCTGTCAATTTAGTAGAACAGGCAATGTATGTGGTATCTGTTTACGACACACAAACAAAACAAATCTATGAGCCACTCAAGCACAAAGAGCGTGGAGAATCAATTTCAACGAATACACAATACCATACCTTAGTGACTAGATCGAACTGACTAAAGGACACAGCGGTATCAACCGTGGGCTTTTCAGCCGAAACGGGTTCAGTCTCAGAGCTCTTAGTATCGTTAGACTCCTCTTCTCCAGATTTCTTTGGAGGTGAAGACGGTTGAGCTGCCAGAAATTCAAGTATTTGAGCTTGTATTTTCTCCATTTTAGCGGTGAGTTCATTAGCTGAAAGAGTTGAGCGTCCCATGGGGATGTAGAATTGAGGCACCTGTTTACTACTGGGCTGTATGGGTTTGAGAGCTACTGTAGATTTGGTGCCGGCATCTGGAGTTTTGTCACCAACTTTATTATCAGATGGAGACATCGTCACCTTTACTGGCTCCAAAGGTTTCTTATTCTCCAAATCCTCTTTCTCTCCTTCTACCCTGACAGTGGTATCGGGAGGGGAAACCTTGGGGACATTTTCCTTACTCTCTTCCTGTAAGTCCCGAGGTTGGTTAGGAGATGTGGGGGAGGGAGTTGAAGGAGAAAGTGAAGCCTCATCTTTTGGAGTCTTGGGGCGTTCTTTCTCCATAACTTCTGGGCTTGTAGGAGTGAGAATTGAGGAGGAGGAGGAGATGGTAGTTGACGGTGCAGACGTAGGACTGACATTTGTACGTTCTGTAGAAATTGCGGTTGGTGTCTAGGAGGAAAGATAACAAATTACGATTATATCTCACTTGCTAAGATTAATCAACTAGGTAAAGAAATAAAATTAGGTGTATTCCAGGCGGCAGCTATAATATAGGTACACCAATAAATGAGTTGCAGCTACCTTGGCAGATAGCGCCCACCGATAAACATCCATTCTCTCACAGTCCATCATATGACAAGGCTGGGGGGTAATACAACATAACGAGTAAAATCCCATATGAACTCCTTTTCTCCATCAATTGAATGCACTCAAATTAGGGTAGACCTAAATAATTCACATCTAGACCAGAGTTCTTAAGTTAAGTGTATGTGAACGAATTAGTGTGAGACTACAAGTGTTTGCAATTTCATTAACGCGAACAATCTCTCATCGCATCTGCGGACTAACCACTAACTGAGGGATTGGAATACCAATGGCTAAAGAGAAAGAATCTTTCCTAAATGGGAACTCAAGAATTTATACATAAATGAGTTTCGAACCCTACCCCATCTCCTCTTGTGTGAAAGCCAAATTCTTCTCTTCCCAAATACAATGCGTATTTCTAGGAACAGATACTCCCATCCATTAACTAACAAGGAATGGGTAAAAGGTCTTTCTTTTCTAAAATAAAATTTCCTGAACTAAGGAGTAATAATCTGTCTATCTATTAGGATATCGCGGGGTTTAGACAGAATAAACTCATATAACCATAGCGCTGCCCAGTTCGAAGTAAATAATATAATTTTGATAAGATAAGGCAGTTGTTTTGTGCATAAAAAGAGATCAATCTACACCCGTATTCCCCTCTGGGGAGGTATAATGCAGCATCTGTAGCAAGGTTTAAAATTCAATAAAGATTGCCACTAATAGACTTCAAACTTTGGCAATTGGTTTTGGAATTGTTTATACCTACTGCATTAGATTCAAGTCAAAAGAGGTCAATGGGTGATGGTGTATCTAGGGTTTCACGTCAATGTGCCAACTATTTGAGTGATCATGAATTTGATTGGTAGTATATTCGTGTAGAGAAATATGTGATAAAAGCAGCTCTAAGAACCGAAAACAGAAATCTACCACAATTTAACGGTCAATAAGAAGGTATAGAAATAGAAATGAGAAAATTGTGAAAAATGGTTCTCATTACCCGCAAATTTAAATTCCAGATATTAAAAAGTGGAAGGAAGTGAAAATCTCCAAGGCCATAGAATATGAATAATTAGGAAATAATGTTTTTTTTCTTTCGAAAATTAATTGAAGGAAAAAATGATTGCCTAGAGAACGTACAATAAAGCTAAATGGTATCGCGGTATATGAGGTCATAAGCATACATGAATGACAAAAGTTGACTTTATTCATACGATAATGGCTTTTGGTTAACATGAAGTTGCAAAGAGTTAAAACAACCAGATGGAAGATTTGGATCAGCCAACTAATCCTAAAACTCACTTGTTTCTCATCTTTAGGTAAAACTTCCTCAGTGGGTTTGGAAATAGAAATATCCTCTTTTTGTACTTCTGTCCTATCTACCGATGGAGATTCAGGTTGAAGAGTTTTCGGTCGATCAATTTCTGTTTCAGCTGTTTTCCCCTGCGTGGGTTTCCTAGGTTCAGATGTATTTTTTTCAACTAATTCTGGAGTCTTTGGACTAGCAATAAGCTCTCTTTCGTCCTTCGGTGTCGAATTTTGTGATTTAACTGAAGGCGTTGAAACACTATCATCGGGAAGAGGAGATTGAACGGATATTGGAACAGTAGGTGAGAAAGAAGCCTTGCTATGAACAGTAGTGGGTAGAGGTAGGTCAGGTGGTACCCAGGGTTCAATAATAGGTGGCGGAATCAATGCGTCTGCATTCTTTGTTCCTTCTGGAAATTTCTGTGACGGTCGGGATACCATTCCATTTCCTGAGGCAGCATAATGTCCTGTACCCCAGGCTTCTGCATATACATCTTGAGCAGGAAGGCATTTGCCCATATGTACTCCAGCTGGGCAGAATCTAGAAGTGGTCCCTTCCATATTAGACTGAGTAACAATTGCTGCAATAGCAGCACTGGGAGTTAAGGCAGCTCGAGGACATCGTTGACAGGCATGAACTGTTGTCTGCCAGGATAAATCTACCGAACAGGCGTGGAAAACAGGTGCCCTCGAAGCCATAACAAAACTCTGTACTCCATGACAAACGGACATTTTGTGATTGCGAGGACCTAGGGAAGAATGGCTACTACCAAGATATACACTATTGTTGGAGTTGGTTTTCAAAGCTGAAACGGAGTTAAATTGGTTGATTTTGGACTTCAAGGGGGAGAGATAATCCGAAGTGGGGGTTAGAGAAGAAGTAACACCACTGCTTGAAGAGGAATTAGATATAGTCCCAGTGGTAACATTACCTCCACCCCAACGTGTGCCGTATGGCGTAGCTCCGTCAATGAATACACGGGGATAGGATGCCAGGTTTAAATTTAAAGACAACGACACTTATTTGTCGGTCAAATTGGAGAAGTAGGAGGTGGAAGAGATGTAAAAAAATCCTTTAGAGAAGTGTACGTGCTACTGTTTTGAAGACTGCCCAGTAGGCACGCACATTACATACACCCTTTTTTGCTCTTGGCTGTAGGATGCAATGTGGGTAGAATTCAATTAGACGAAGAAGAGAACTATAATCCTGCGTCCAATTTTTCTAATGCGTACGCAAAATGATAATCTCTCTATCCTCACTCTTTGATGGGTTCCTTCTCTCTCTACTGCAAACGTGCTAAATGTGTGCAAGAGATTGCGCATTTACGCGCAAAAGCAGCACGCAGCAGAGGCGACAGTGTAATTGCTGCTTGTGTAAGTACGCGCTGCGTATGTACGTCCCCACTCAGTGATACGATTGGTGGAGAGCTTGAGTGCGTACATGGTAGCTCGCACGGTAGCCTCGAGGTCGACAGCCAAGTGTAAGCGACGGAACTGCTGCACCGGCGATATATCGATCGTTTCGTGCACATATGTACGCACGCATCCAAATGGGTGGATGTGGTTGGCTCGATGTAGAAAGCGTGATTGGTACTGGTTTAAGGTGAATAGCGCGGAGGTGGCAACTTGGTGCTAGAGAGACGAGGTGAAGATCCTGAGAGATGAGTAAGCTCTCAGAAAAAGCACCTTTGGTGACTTTTGGACATATGCCAATCTACCTCCGTGTGTGAGTATCACCGTGTGTATGCGTTTGCACTTCAATGTTGTATACGGAAAATCTGCTGTAACTTGCTCCTAGTTGCCATTCCTAGGACTCTTCTGCTCTCAAGTTGAATTGAAGTGATTCTCAAAAATCGAAATATTGTCAGTAAATATGTCTGAGTAAAGCATAGTACTCAAAAAGGAAGTATATGATACTATAAACACGTTTTATTTAAACAAGAGCCAAAAAATACAGTGTTTTGTAGAAAATAAAACGTCTCAATGAGAGGCGTGTTAGTTCAAACGGCTACTGAATGCTAAATAAAAATCGATCCTCAAAAAATTACACTTCTATATTGAAGTTGCGCTAAGGGGATTGGATTTAAAGCCAAATGCTTAAGATGAAATAGAATCATACAAATATAAATTTTAATAGGTAGATTATAATCAATTTTTTAGGATGTTGTATTTCCTCGAAAAAAATCTACAGATCTTAGCTTATTCTACCGGATTTCAATCAAATTCTGGAGATAATATATTATTTCGAAAAGTTTCATTTTGAGAAAGCTTTAATTCCAAACTTCTCACTGGGAAACATTAATCACTAACTGTCTACTGAAATATAAGTGGTAGAAAACATTTTTATCAAATTTTTAGTATAGGGAATTTTAAAGTAATTTTCAAGTGGTAGGCGTTTTGATAGTTATCATTAGCCCTTCAGCTGATTTCGGGCTTTACAGAGAGAAGGAGGAATATCAAAGTGACAAAAGTCGAAACGGGGGGGGGGCAGAATAATGATTCACAGATGTAGAAGAGACAGACAAATAGGTGAGTTGAGTACTGTGGAAGGAGTCGAATATGACATACAGTCGGGTCATGGTAGTTTGAAGTCAGAAATCAACTGCCGGTTAATAGACTCTTTTGTCGTATGAGTACACGTTGCCCAGGGTGCACCACGTGGCGGTAAGTCTATCGCACACCCAGAATTTTAAAATAAATGTCTACTATAACTCTTCGCCTCCATAACCCTTTATTTAGGATTGCTTATAATGTGGCTGCATTCAGAATAAAGCTATGCAATTCAAAATGGGCACAACATGGCTCAAGTAAAGCTCGATTAAATGAGTGTATTGTTGGTAATATGGTCAGTTAACGTCATTAAATTTAAAATTCAAATTTATTCATGACTCCTATCATAGTTTCGATACTGTTGAAAACATTCACTCAGATCGTGTTTGTGCACAAAAAATTCGACACCATTGTTTGATATAACTACCTTTTAAGAAATAATAAAACAGAGCCAAGTTTATATGGACGTTTTCCGAAAAAATTCACGCATTTTTTGAGTGACTCACAAATCTCATTATGAGCCCACCGGCAAATTTCTAACTGCAATTTTAAAGGTCTAAAGGTCTTTGAATCTAGAGATCACAATGTCATCAATGCTAACCAAAAGGATCACGTGTATGCTGGAAAATTCTGGAAAGCGTGCGTGCATAGGCTTCTGAGCCAGAGTTCGATATTCGTGTAACTGAGCATCCAGACTGATAAACCAGACAATAAGCATTTGACAGGTGTTTAGTTGGTGAAAAAATATTACAATTATGAGTTAGGGCATTTTGATTAGCCGAATCTACCATTTTCTGTTCCTACTCCCTCTCAAAATTGAGCCACCCTAAATTTCCTTTCTGCTCTAATGTTTTTTCCCAATGCTCTTAATATGTTTTTGGTTGTGAAAATAATGAAACAACAGAATTCAGTCATTATAGCAACCAATTTCAACTTGCACAAGGGTGCTTTTGTTTACTTTTTCTAAACTTTCACAAGTAGTCTAGAGAATAAAAGGAAATATTTTGCATTTAAGTGAATGCCAAACAAATTTGGTTTTATAAGCGACGGCTTACAGAAAGATAGTTTTTGTTCACTGCTGTGTATTGACTGTGTCCATGAAAAAAAGCACTAAAATAGTCACAATAATTCTCCGAAATTCCAGTAAGGAATAATAAGAATTGGTTATCTTCGCTGAGAATGCCTAGGCAATATTTAAAACGAAACAAATAATATTAAAATTTTCAAGATATATCAATCCATTAGCGCGCCATGAACTTCGGAAACCAACTACCGATTGAAAATATGGTGGTGTTAATAAGCAGATCGAAGACCAACATAAACTTGCATTCAACACTCAAAACTCCATTTTTATGATGAATTTCTGAGTGCTTTAATACGTTTCAATCAAAAGTCAAAATATGTCTTGATTTACCAATACCGTTTCATGTTTACATTTTACTTTCCTTTAAAAGATAGATATATTTACTCCTGTGTGGTAGACCAGCCAAGTGAATTGAAAGGCCATATCAATAGGTTGTTTATACGTATAACATAACATTGGAATTATCAAATATTTACACACTGAGCTATTAAACTAATTCAACAGTACAAAATTTCAACTATTAATCACAAATATTGACATCAAATGTGCCTAAAGAGACGCAGTTAATGAAGAACCATTTGTAGTATTCCATGGATGAGAAATGACAGCAAAGTAACTGAAGAAAATATTACTTGAATTTCCTTTGACTGAGGTCCGCTATGGCTGGAATGCCTACACTTATTTCATTTACCTGTCCACTGTCCTAGAAAGGCATTAAATAATCGAAACAACACGTTTAACCACTCAATTAAAGTAACCGGTCTGAACAAAGTAGGCATGAACTGACCCAGATACCCATAAATGTTACAAAAAGAAGTTGCCATTTCAGTTCCCCCTGGAATTCAAATAACATTTCGTTTGTAATACAAACTCCATTTCGACTTCTTGTTTCAGTTCTAAAAAAGGTGCTTTCGTTACTATGTCTATTCACATGCCTTGACTTGATCAAACCCGATAAAGGATTCCTCCATTGCCGGGAATTTATTATGCGTTATAAAAATATATGGGGGAAAAATAAAAGCTGTAGTTACCTCAACACCAGTGTCTTATGACTTTAAAATCGTTTTGCACTCTCATCCACTAAAAGGAGAAATGAATGGAAGTGTCTAGACCAACTCTTCGCAATTAGACACACAGGCTACAAAGTAATGAACATCATAGACAGCCGCTTGGTGCCATCCAATGAGGCGATCATAAAATATGCATGTAGTAAATAATGTACATTTGGTAATGGAAATATCAATGAAACATGGCTATTTGATACTATGACATTAATTCAAACATTTTAAAAGTCCCGCTCCCACCTTTTATACATTTTTTTAAATATTCTTTTTAATTATCACTTTTTCACATCATTGGGCGTAATAAGAATAATGGATCACTAATGTGGCAGACCTTGAAAATGTCAAGGAAATGCAAATTAAATCATTTTAATACTTGCATCAAGAATCAATCACATAAATTTAGCTTAAAGAGACAGAATTCATCGAATCTCATTAAAATATCTTCAATGTCCTGCTTTATATGCTACACCACGCAATAAGACCTTGAAAATTGCAATGAATTTTATAAAAATAAGTGGACGAATAGCATTTGAGGCATTTAATGACAATGCATTTTACATGAGAATGGTCAGTAAATGGGTTTATGCACGCTAGCAACTACATTCATACGGGTAAAATAGCTCCCTCCCTTATAAGTGAAGAGTAAAACAGGAAAAAAGGTGAATACTTGTATGTGACAAAGGACGTAGAAAGCACGATATTTGATCTTTATAAACTAATTGGAGGCTTAATTATCAGTTGACAATACAATATGGAAATAAAATGTTCATAAAAGTGTAATGAAGAAATTATCCATGCTCCAACATTCAAGACTTTTTCACCGAATGTTAGATTTCTTATTGCCATTGTGACTTATGAGGAATATAAAATTAGGCGTAATTAGGTGGTCAAAAAGTGCTTTTATGAATAGGAAGAAATGTTAAAATCCTACTTTCACGGTCTTGGGAAGAAAAGTGATGGATTGAAGTGACTCAACAGAGCATCCAAACTAATAAACCAGTCAATAAGCACTTGGCAAGAATTCAGTTGGTGTA